AAAAATGCTCAACATCACTCATCATCAGGGAAATATAAATGAAAACCACACTGAGATATTACCTCACACCTGTCAGAATGGTTAAAATTAACAACTCAGGCAACAACAGATACTGGCGAGGATGCAGAGAAAGGGGTAAGCTTTTACACTGCTGGTGGGAATGCAAACTGGTGCAGCCACTCTTGAAAACAGTATGGAAGTTCCTCACAAAATTAAAAATAGAACTATCCTACCACCCAGCAATTGCAGAATGAGGTATTTATCTAAAGGATACAAAAATGCTGATCTGAAAGAGGCACATGCACCCCAATGTTTACAGCAACACTTTTCAGAATAGCCAAAAGGATGGAAAAAGTCCAAATGTCCATCAACTGATGAATGGATAAAGAAGACGTGGTGTATATATATTCAATGGAATACTACTTAGCGATGAAAAAGAATGAAATCTTGCCATTTGCAATAATGTGGCTGGAACGAGTGTAATATGCTAAGCTAAATCAGTCAGAGAAAGACATGTCATATGATTTCATTCATTGGTGGAATTTAAGATACAAAACAGATGAACATAAGGGAAGGGAAGCAAAAATAAGATAAAAACAGAGAGGGAGACAAACCATAAGAGACTCCTAAAATACAGAGAACAAACTGAGGGTTGCTGGCAGGATGTTGGGTGGGGGAAAGGGCTAAAGGGGCAAGGGGCATTAAGGAGGACACTGGATGGGATGAGCACTGGGTGTTATAAGTGATGAATCAACAAATTCTATTCCTGAATGAACAAATAATTTAAAAATGTCTTTGTAATAAAGTTTTCCAAAATTAAAGGGCCTAAATATTTCAATATCTGATAAAACATAATTTTAATGAAAGACAAGTTTGGATAAGACACATTGTCTTGCATGTTGTTAATCAAGTTAAAGTGGAATAAGAGGAGGCAGTTTAGCATTTATCAAAATATTTAAAAATTTTTATTATCACAGCTAAATACAAAAACTTAATAGAATTGTTAACTCATAATGAATATCTTCTTGTATATGGGAAAATAAATAATCAAAAATGTATCTACAAACATAAGTTGATTCTTACTAAAACAAGCAATTTTTTATTTCATAAATACTAGTAAATTAGAAAGAACAAAATTCAGAAAGGGTAGTATTTATGCAAACATACCTTTGGTCGATAGGGTTGTGCTGTTTTAATGAAATGATTGTGTCTCATTTTTTCCTTTTTATCTGCCCTATTGCCAAAAGATTCATGACTCTTGCGCAACTGAGGAGTGCTGCTGGAGGTATTTCGGCCAGACCTCTGAAAATGAAAGCTTATTCGTTTTTACAGACTTAAATATACTAATATTCTATAAAAATTCAATAATCAATCCAAATATATATATATATACACACACACACATATATACATATATGTGTATATACACACACATAAATGTATAAATATATACATATACACACATATACATGTGTGTATATGCATACAAAAATGATTTTAGATTTTGATTACAAAATATTTCTATGTATCTTAGTTGAAAAAACCATTTTTAAGACGATGTTACTTCACTGTTCTTATATTTAGTAGTTTTAAACTTTTAAAGTGTATGAATTTTTAACTTACAAAGTGTATAAAGTACACATATAAACCACCCCCCCAAAATATTACATACCCGATTATTTCCACCAAGACTATTATAAATTAATCGGAAACGTTTCCGAGTGTAGGTGCATCTGTAAGTTCCTCCCATAAGATATTCAATAACAAGTCCTATATCAATTAGGGTGATCTTATATCCTGGAGGAAGATTTCCCTGAAAACAAAACATTAGTTTTAATTTTTTTTTATGTTTATTATTTTTGAGAGAGAGAGAGAGCAAGCAGGGAAGGGACAGAGAGAGACGGAGACACACAGAATCGGAGGCAGGCTCCAGGCTCTGAGCTGTCAGCACGGAGCCCGATGCAGGGCTCGAACTCACAGACCACGAGATCATGACCTGAGCTGTAGTCGGCCGCCCAAATGACTGAGCCACAAAGGCGCCCCAGAAACATTAGTTTTAAATAGACAAGGTATTTCTCAATATTTCCATTCATGCCTATAAAGACACCTACTCTCCAAAATGACAAATGTTTACTTGTTACAGGAAGCTGGGGTTGCAGCTATCTTTGCAGGAGAAGGGAGTAACTTGGTCCTCCATTTCCTCTGTAAGAAGAGAGAATTCTGAAGTTCTGAAATATGGCTTGCAGCAGCAGATCCTTTATCTTTCCACTGCTCTAATACTTCACACAAAGAGGCAAAGGAACTTCTAAGAGGCAAGTATTCCATTTTCACTGTGGCACATACCATAAATTGCATTTTCCTGCAAAAATAATGCTATAATTGCTACTTAGGTTTCCAAGTAAGCCCGTAAGTACTTGTAAGTATTTTTTTAGCCAAAATTATATTGGCTATATTATAGGTTACACAAGTTTTTATAGCCTCATCTAAGATTTAAACTACCACTTATAACACTGTTTAGAACTAAGACTTCATTTCCCTAGGATATCAATTTACAAATAAACTCCTGGAACAGGAGCCACTGTGAGTTTGGAAACACTGCCTGTTCAGAATCAAATATTTGGTTAATCTCATTAAATAATCTTAAAAGGGCTTAATCATAAGATGATTTACATATATCAACTAATTCTGCCCTTCTACCATCATCATTCTTTCAATTTTCCTAATTATCACCTCATGAACTTAGTACTTTAAAAAATGTTTATACCATGGGGCACCTGGGTGGCTCAGTCGGTTAAGTGTCCGACTTCGGCTCAAGTCATGATTCTCACAGTTTGTGAGTTTGAGCCCCACATCAGGCTCCGTGCTGACAGCTCAGAGCCTGGAGCCTGCTTTGGATTTTGTGTCTCCCTCTCTCTCTCTGCTCCTCCCCCACTCATTCTCCCTCTCTCTCTCAAAAATAAACATTAAAAAAATGTTTATACCTTTTATAATTTGGTTTCATCTGTGAAGTTTTAAATTTCTAGATAGATACTTATATTCTTTAATCTCCGATTTAAAAATAAAAAGTATTTTCATCTTAGGTGCAAGATTTTTGTTTTCGTCTTGAGCAACCAACCTCAAAATATACTTTATGAGCAAGGATGTCATATACGATATTTTTATTTTTATTTTTATTTGTGAAGAGAGAACATGCAAGTGCATGAGGGAAGGGCAGAGAGAGAGAGAGAGAGAGAGAGAGAGAGAGAATCTGAAGTAGACTCCATGCCCAGCACAAGCCCAACAATGGGACTGATCTCACCACCTGAAATTATGACTTGAGCTGAAATCAAGAGTTGGACTTTTTTTTTTT